ATATATATATATATATATATATATATATATATATATAAACATTACGCTGAGCTTCATTATTGCAGTACAATGCATTGTGATATAAATCGGATACTGAAAAACTGATCCTTTCCTTAAATCTTTTCTGCGGGGAACGACCGGCAGAATTATTTTTTCCGTTAAATAATGAGCAGAGGAAATCTATATGATCCTTAAAAATACACGCAACAGATTATGTCTTGCACTGAACGGAACTGAATGCATGGGGTATAAATATGGTTACCGGATGGCTTAAAAATTCGAAATGTCGCTCAATAAATTGGGCCTGCTGAACAAACCTAAAACGGAACAGTCGGAAATCAGAGGGATGGTCCATGTTTTGAACTTCTGAAACGTGATACCGGGGAAATTTCCGTGGCACCAAACGGCTAAGGAAGATTTGGACCTAGAAAAAAGCCTCAAATCCTGTAGCTGCTAGCCTTCATTTTTCATCAACGAAATCCAGCTATAAAGAGCAATCTCTTAGACGGATAAGATGGAATAATGTGATGGTTCATGTCGTTAAGCTTCGGCAAATCTTTGTAGTGTCAGATTAACTAAGTAGTCAGTGAAAATACTGGAATTTCATGTTACATTGAAATTACCGGGTAGTGCTGTTAACATAGTCGTGTCACAATTTCTGATATCTCATCGGCCACGATATATGACCATATAACTCAGAGATTCCGAATCTAAGTTTTCAGTAGCAATCACTAACAATGTGAAATATGTGAAATTCAACTGTCAAGCGTAAAGGCACCCTCTTCGGCTCGGTAGACAGCTTCCTCTACGTCAACATATTCTAACGCCGCCTTTAAATATGCCGTATCTTTTCCGCTTTTATTTGCTTCTTCTATCTGCTTGCGTAAAGCATACCTTTTCAGGGTTGGTACCACTTCGTATTTAGGAGCATTCAAAAATCCATCATAATCCTTTCTAAAGAAGCGTTCATTTAACAAATAGTGAAAACTGTGCGTAAGAATGAAGGACACAAAAAGAGAAAAAAAGAGTCCAAGATAAAGAAGTTCACAAGCTACCCATAAAATGTCCAGGTTTTAAAAACCTATTATAACCATAGATAAAAACATTTTCGGTCGGAAAATCACTAACCTGGAATACCAGAAGTAGAAACATATTGCCGCAAAACTGCTCAAAAACGATACTGTTACTTTCCGTCTATGAGTTGCAGAATCGCAAGCTTCCAGATAGGACTGCGAAGCAGCTACTATCGTTTCATGTAGTGGTTTTCGCTTATCAATTCCAAAATAAGCTTTGCTTTCACTGAATTTCAAGTCCTTCGTCTGCTTTGAAACTTCTGAAGAGATAATAAAACCATAAAAAGTGAACCAAATTTTTCAACACTGTAATAAAGGCTACATCGTTTCTTCAAGCAATTAAAATTTTGCCAGCTGGGATTACCTGATGAAATATCTTATAAATTCGAGGTAAATATTACTCATTTGTTAGTTCCTCCGAACATCGTAAACAAAAGTTTACATATATCGAAGTGTTTTGCTGTTTAATAACGATCCCAGTAGAATGGAACGAACACTCCGAATATGGGCATGTACCGGTTTCCCCAAAAACAATTCATAACCCAACTAACAGACTATTCTCTTTGTTCTCTTTACCATTGATAAGATAGCTCTTGATCTTTACACTTTTCATCTTCTCTCGTGAAAAAAGTTAGCCGTAAAAGTATTACCGGTAGGGATGAATGCTTTTTGTGTTTGTTTTTGGATGACTGTAGTAGACGTACCATTGTTATTCAGTGGTTTCTTATTCTTCCACCTGAAATTCTTTTTTAAATGGGAATACTGACAAAATGTCAAATGATTTTAATTCGTCAAAATGATACAGATACATCAACTCTCCCAGATCTTTCTATTTCCCCCAAACTGCATAATCTAAACTTAGTTCCCAGGATCCAAAATCCACTTCTTCAATCTTGAGTAACCATAAACCGATAATAATTTGTAAGTGATTAGTTTTTATGCAAAAAGGCAGAAATTATGACTGACCTCGAAATTTTTTCAAGAATAGTCGAAAGGCTGCGCATGTAATTACTGCTATCACTTGCTTTCATCTTTTATGAATTATAAGACATGAAACTAAAAGAGAAAATGGGAAACGAAACTACTAGTTCAGAGTAGATATAATAATGTAGTTTGTTATCAAAAAAACAAAACATTTTCGAGACTCATTAGCAAAGTCAATCCTGGTAGTCATTAGCATTCGCATAATGCTATAAGAAGTGATCAAACTCCCATGGACACAATCTTTCTTTTCCTCTCCATGCAATATTGCTTATCTTGAAAACTTCAAAAGTGCGTCATAACACATTAAAATATAGAACATGAAATAAACTTTTTCGTATCACTTTGAATGTATTTGTTAACATTGGCTGCCGAATAGAAAGAATAGTTTAGAAAAAAGAGTCGTCGTACGATACAATTTTCTCACGTTATATGCATATTCCACACTTATTCAATCATTTATTTCATTAGTTTCAAATGATTCTAAACAGCTTACGTATCAAAGGTAGACATATTAACAACAACGACAACGAAAGAAACAACTTCCAGTGAGCAGTAACGAAAAAACATAATCCAGTGCATACACGCTCATCTTCTGGATGAAACAGCAATAGAAAATTCCGTGACCTAGAAATCCTTTTAAAAACCACGAATAATGGAGAAATGGTTACGAAAATGTGATACGAAAAAGCGAAATTCAATTTGAACGTATTATAAAGGAGACCATCTTTTTTCTTTTTTGAATGTTTACTAGGACAACAAATCAATCAGTTGTTCTTCTAACAAGGAATAAAATTTAAAGAAGTTGTAAAAAGTTACCATACATGTACATTTTTCTAATTCAAGATTCTAGCACCTTACACTGTGGAAGGCAAGATGGAACATTTCGAGACACTGGAAATATAATGATAAAGATATATTAAGTAATGTATGTAAAACCTTTGTGTTTAGACCAATGAGCAGAAAGTTTTACATGAAATGTAGACAATTTGTAATTAAGAAGCTTCAGTAACCTGCACTGATCGGCTGTTAACTTGTCACCGTCTTTGCAAACAGTGTAATGAGAGATTAACGTCACTATACCTGAAATTTAACCAAAATTTAACCCTATTTTGCAAGTGAAGTTTCGCATAAGGAAGCCTGTTTCGAAAAAGCTATTGTTGTATTACCACTGGAAGCAACACATGGCCATGATCGAACGATATACAATGCAATACTATCAAAAGATGTACTAAAGTCCTGGAAAGTTGAAATATGTAACAGGAAGACGGACTTGACGATACCGAAACGAGATTTGTGACAACACCTTACCTTTCTCCAATTTCGTTGGCAAGCCGAGCTTCCTGAGCTGTGGTTCCAGAGAAAACGGAAATTGCATTAGCGGTCCCTCACATAGTTCGATCGTACTAGCTGCAACTTGTCCACATCGAGCAAAGTCTAACGTATATAATTCATCGAAATATCTGAAAGAAGACAGGAAGTGATATTTCAGGAAGTTCGGAAAAATCCGAAAAAGGCATGCGACATAATTAAAGATTTCCAAACTATGAAAAAATCCTTAGCGAGAATTCTAGATAAGGGATAACGATCTACCAATGGTTTTAAGAAAAAATCCGTAATGATAACTAACTTTTTAATAATTTCGTGATCTTCGTTTGTGAACATCAAACCACATTCTCCTTTCAACAAGCCACTGACCTTTAATAAAAATTTATATGAACTTATCGGACTTAATATCTTCTATGATATCTATGGGCAATCAAGAAAAAAATTCTTTTGTATTTTGTATCTTAGACAAATAAAACTGAAATATTTCAAAAATCATTAATCTTGAACAAAGGAATGCCAACCTTATTCAATTCATGCGCATATTCTGTGCATGGATTTTTGCCCAGTGCTATTGCCATGACATTATTTTTGCCATAGAAGAAACGTGAATTATTTTTATATTTTTGCCGAATCTGAAAATAACAAATGAAAATATTTCTACTTCACACATTACAAAGTATTGACACAGGTCAAAAAAAAGAAGTGCGAGAAATTATGAAAGAAAACAGGTCTCTATGCAAATTCCTTTTTACTCGTTGATCAAATATTCGACTTAAAATGAAAAAAAAAAAAAAACTTCTAAAAGCCCTCACATCTACTATAACCTATAACGCAAAATAATTTAATATACAAAATCCTTCATTATATCTTACTTCGATGAATTTCGTAGAGCGCATATTTTCAATTTCGAGAACAAATAAATTTTCGTATGTATCAACACATTTTCGTATTTCATCAGCTAACTTTATCTTCTGCTCTTTTGTCTTTTTTTTAACCCGAGTTAAAGATACTGAAAATCGTATCGTAGAGCAAGAATTGGAATATAAACAAAAAAACAGCGCTGGATCTTTATTTGTGTGTTTAAATTAAGGATTAAATAGTAGTAACATCTAGTGAAAAACATATTTTGCAATCATTTAACCTTTGGTTAGATTCCATTAGGAAAGTGCTATAATTCTGAAAAATCAGTACGAAATATCATAAATTAATCTTTCTTGCACTCATTAAAATCCAGCTTTTACCTCGTTGTTTTTCCAAAATCTCGTCAGAGTAAAATTATACAAGAAAAAAAAAACTAAGGTGTAAAAGTTAGGTAAGTGAATATCCGCCTTCCATCGGAATGCACAAATGCTTGCGAACTGTTTTGCTATCATGTAAGAGGAAGTATTACTACTACCGTCTAATCGAACTACCTTATATCTCCTAGAAAAAAAAGAAGTAATAATATAAATAAATTTCACGATAAAATTACCATCCACTTCACGTTTTGATTTTGGCATCTTCAGCGATAAGACTTCGTTACGTCCTCTTCAACTCTCCTAAAAAGAGAAACGTTTCCCCTTCTCAAAAAAAAGGAGAGAAAAACAAAATTGCAAACAATTATGGATATATGCGTTATGAATACACATAAAATATATTTTATTAATTGGTCGTAAAAAAAAAACAGAAAGAATGCCTCAGTATTCTTAGCTATTGCACATGTCCAATTAAGCTAATGTCACTTTCAGCTGATTACTAATAAATTTACTACTAACGGATTTCTATTAAAAGACCAACAAACTTATGGTACGAAAGAAAACTCTACCCCACCCCACGCCCCGCCTTCCGGATGACAAAGGAAGTCTCCCTCAGTCTAAATTGTTTCGTTTTTACACCAAGCAAACGAATTCTTATCAAAACCTCCCATGTCTATAACAACGTTACACCTAGTTTAGGATCAGACCTCCCCATTCAAATCCGGAATTAACAAATCAGTGGAATTCACTCTTGATAGTTGTTTTATTTGGCTTAGCTGACCATTGCAAGATTCCCCATATGTTTACTCAAAATTACAAATAATGTATAAAGGATTAAAAGAGAAGGGCAGAAATTAAAATCTGTAGCTGTATGAATCAATTATAATTGAGATGAATGCGTAAAAACTGTGTAAGACAAAGGTAAACAAAAGCAACCCATGTTGCACACATTTCACATTCGAAAAACAAACATTTTTTAGGGAATATACGATAAGTGAAGGAAATACAACTGGTTGGCTTAATGAATACATAGACTTTTGCATTGGTTCTAAGATTACTTAAATCTGACGCTCACAAAGCTATAATCGGTTTAATTGCTACAGGTAAAATGTAGTTCACGAAAAGAAACAATTCCGGAATTGCATACAAAGGTTATGAATTTCGAAGAAAAAAACGCGGGTGATGATTCAAATGATCAAAATTTGAAAATGTATTGTAGTGGCACCACCAAAATATTTATTTTGCACAATAATTTAATTGTAATATTGATTTCGATTCCACACTAAAAACATAATACATAAATGTATAAATGAAAAAAGACAAGAAGACAAAGCAATTTAAGGCAAAGTATATTAGATGCAACGTTAACTCATCATTTACAGTCAACCTTATCGTTATCATTGAAAAATTGTCCAGCAATTTCCCAATACATCTCCAGTTAGTGATGGAACAAATATACAACCAAAGCTCTAACAAAAAATGTTGACAATTTAAAATTCAAATAGGTTTAATTTGAATCGTCAGATTTATATTCCGATGTTTTATGTCATCTTCTTTCAAGAATAGAATTCAATACACCCTGCTCGTCTTTCAGAATTCAGAATTACTAAAAAATTAATGAATTCATAGAGATCTGTCAAGAAGTGTTAAATCTTTTTCCTCCTCTTGTAATCTCTAGTGAAAAAGTATTTATATGATGTTCACTGAAAACTGCACATTTTAAATACCCACTTCTTCCACTCATTTAACATGAAGCTTATCAATTACGTCCTGCACAATCACTTGCTTAGTATAATACCATGAAAGGTTTTTACGTGGAGCCACAAAATCTCTATAAATAATTAATAGATATATGTCGCGTGGAGGATAAAGCTATCAAATATGTACTACGTGCATCACGGGAAGGAAAAGCTGTTGAATATGTATTACATACTTACCACGGCGGATGTTATAAATCTGTAGCATGGAAGCAAAAAAAAGCACGTGCACCATAGAAAGGAAAACTATAAAATGTGTTAAACTAAAACAAAAACTATAAATATCCATCACAAGAAAAGTACCATCCCTTGTATCATTTACCACCGACAATATATATTTAATGTTAATACGATGGATATCCAAAAAGTCAATTTCAAGTGACAAATAGAACAATGAGCAGTTATAAAATCAAATACGAATATTGCAATGCCAAATAAACTGAAAATAGGAAAATTAAAACTGTAGAACTTAGATTACAAAGGGATTAATTTCATTTCATTCTAGTAGAGAATTTTGTTTAGATAAATTGCGGAGCACAAACCTTGCCGGAAATAGTTCACTCCTACCCTTATCAAAGCACCGAAATTCTTGCGAAATGTAATGAACATATGAAGTACTATTTTGATATTTATCGTTTTCTAGCTCTGATAGATGCCATCGTTTCTTTAGAGCTGCCATTTAATTAACTGCAGCAAACATGAAAGGCACTGGCCATATTCAATTTAATAACTATTTTTGGCCATCGAGTCTCGACTAGTACCTTTTGCAATCATCTCTTGTATCCATGAATGGTTCAAGACACCCTTTAACGGCAAGCGTTTCTTTGGATCTTTTTGTAAGAGCTGAAATTTGATTGGATAACCATGTTTTTAAGAGTAACAACAACTAAAGAACTCAACTAGGAATTATGAAAATAAAGTCTAACCTCGAAAGAAGTATATATTATGTAAACTTACACAAAGAGCTTTATTAACGATGCAATTTTCACAACCACTTAACATATGTATAATTTCAATTTCTGTTCCAAAAAAATTTAGCTAACAGCCTTAGTAAGCAAGAAGGAAATAAATATATAAAACAGAAAAATAAAGTAAAATGAAACGCTCATTTACATTCGGACAAATAGAACCAAATCCAAGTTAGGACTAGATATCAAGAATTTTGCTTTAAAAAGTAAAATACAAACAAACTTTTGATATAAGATCTCTTGCACCATCTGGTACTTCAGGTGGAAAGGTATACCTGCATCTACGAATATTATCGAACGTATCCTGGTATGTCTGAAGCATTTTGATGATATAAAATAAAATTATGATAAGAAAAGAGTCAAATTCTGACCTGAATTACTGAACTAGAAGGGCCTTCATTAAAAAGGTACGGATGATGAATGCATCAGACGCAGAATTAAAAGTTCAAAATAATTTTTAAGTTCTTAGAACTTATTACCACTTCATACAGCTTATTACCACATGAGTGTGAGCTCATTTACAGCTATTGACAGTTGAACAAGTAAGTAAATTATTCCACGGACATTTCACAATAAAAGGAAAAAATGAATAATTCAGGGATGAATACCTTTGCCTCAAATGCAGGTTTCCCAACTAGGAATTCATATAGCATAACGCCAAGAGACCAGTTATCAACCATAGAGTCATGTGTTCCGTTCGGAACCATTTCCGGTGCTAAATAGTCCAACGTACCACACACTGTAGTCCTTCTGAAATTGGTATATTAATCATAATAATCATCAAAGCATGAAACGAAAATATTGCCAGCATGTAACTGCAGCTATTCACAAGATCTCGTGGTCCTTGTACAAATTCTGGAAAATCCCTGATCTCCCGACTTATGCAGAGATGATAAACAAACTTTGATGATGGTTCATGCACCGACCACCCGAAATCTGATATTTTCAAATCACCATTCCCACCAATAAGAACATTTTCAGGTTTCAAATCTCGATGTAGAACTTTCTTTTGTTGACAGTATTCCATAGCTGATGCCAGTTGGTACATATATTTGGCAGCTAGTTCAGGTGGGAATTTTTTCATCTGAATTGAAAATTCATTTTCAAATGAAACAGACACAAACTTATATACAGTTTATATTTGAGCAACTATGAAGTAACGAGTCCAGTTTCTAGCTTCCTGATTTAGGATGTAAATTACTTGCACTGTCCTGTTACCTCCTGAAGACGTTGGAACAGACTTCCTCTTGGAGCGAACTCCAAGACCAGATAAACACGGTCCTTATCATGGAAATATCCATACAAACGCAAAATATTTGGATGCCTGAAATGGTACTGATTTTCGACCCAGCATAAGGAAAGTAAATTTTTTGCGCAGTTTCATGTTAAAACAAATAACACCAACAAAGATAAAAACTGAAACTTATCGCATAGGTTTATTCTAAACAATAAATCTCAAATGTTTATCCCAAGCAGTACTGCATATGAATATCAATCTGAAATGTTCACCTCAAGTGATATTGAATTTCGATTTCACGCTGCAACTGACGCTTCAAATTATTTGGTCCCAACTGTGCTTTGTATACGACCTTGAGGGCAACCACAAATTTGGACTCAATTTCTCGAGCCAAATATACGTTGCCAAATTTTCCTCGACCTAAAGGACGGCCAACTTCGAAATCATTCAGCGTCCACTCACGAGTCTTTGGTCGAATATTAGTACTAGCAATTTTTTCAGAATTATCATCGTTTTTTGTAGATTGCTTGCAATCCATTGTAGGATTTCTGCAATACGTCTTCACTTTCTGAATGTCCTTAACATATAATTATAATGGACGATTATAAAATTGCCCACGTCCATTTATTTATTCTCCTTTCTTCCCGTTGTAACATGAGCAAACTCGTCTTATCGATACTACTATAAATGGTAAAGGTCGAGATCGAAAATCATCCACCTAGATCCTCTCAACGAAACCACAACCTACCCACTATTCAAACCCATCATTACCGGCAAAATTTCAATTTAAAAGTTTCCTTCAACCCGCATTATGAGACATTCTTTTGGCTATACAGAAAAATACGAGAGGAGTGGAATAATATGTGATGAGGAATTGATAAAAGGCAGAGAGTCAGAGAGCAGCATTTCTATGACATTTCCCTTTTCCCGTCCTATTTTGTGTTTTGAATGATTCGAGAGAAATGGTGGGAATTTATTCCACCGATTGATCCTAATTCATGGGGAAAAATTTTCATCAAATCAAATATTTTTCAATTCTCCGAAACTCCATCAATGACAATTTGATATCGTTCTATTTATTTACAAGCATTTAAAAATCATCAAAACATATGTTAAGAAGACATAAATTATTAGAGAGATAAATATCAAGTAAGAATGATATTATTCTTTACATATCTGTGGGAAATTTCGAGCACAACAAAGCTTCAAATTGAACAATATTTCAGTTAAGTTGCTTTGTTTCATCGTTCGATTTGACTGTTATTTTCCAAAAACCTTTTTTTCTTTTCTCTTTTACAATATTCTTTGTAATCGTATGAAAATATGTAATTTCATGATATTTCCGGAAATTAACATTTACTTGTAAAAGTGTTTTTTTATAAGCATGATTTTTTTATCCAGCTCTTCCACTTGTCTTTTTTTGCTTCTCTAACAATTACTGTACTCAGAGAGAAAAAAGGAAAATCATCAAGAATTATTTGTATTGGATGAAGATTGACCAGCACCGCCGAATTGCGCACTACTTTTGCTATCAGCCAATGCACGACAATCAACAATTCGTGCTTTTACCTCCGCAATTAATCGATGCAATTCATCGGTATATATCTAGAATGCTCCAGAGAGAGTTTGGAAACAATTTAAGATGTATTATTTGAAATAAATTACGAAATATATTGGAATGCTTTTGGAATATATTGTAGGAAGTATATAATTCAAGTTGATAATGTATTGTACAAAATCAGTCTAGCAAATAATTTAAGTACGTCAAAATATATTAGATTACTATTAAGGTTTGCTAGTTTGACAATTAAACGATCTTAATATGTTATTTCAAGTATGCCGGTGCATATTTACAATATTATCATTTCTTATTTATTCAAAATAAAACGATATGTAATTTGAGGCATATTGTTACAAAATTTGTTCGATAAAATCCACCGCGGTATGCGGAGATAGTAAGCCCTAGATAATGTTGCACTTGATATTGAGCTATAATGGACTTTTTGGAATTATAAAGGCGTACTGTAACATATCAATTAATTGATATCATTGGCAAAGTAACAGAACTGATAAAATAAAAGGAATGTTTATACGTCCATATTCGATATAGGTTCTATTTTGGGAGCCTTCTCAGAGATTTATGGGTATCGTCTTGGCACATTGTCGAGAAAAATCTACACAATTTAATTAGTACAGTCAGTTTTGAAATTTAATTCACGGAAAAAAAATTAGCATTAATTCTAATTTGAACAAGATATATTTATAGTTGGAATAAATTGACAAAATGCGTCTTTTGGTATAAAAACATGCCATACTTTTTTGATTGAGAAAAAAGGGGAAAAAAATTACCCGTCTAGTTTTTGGTCTTGTATACATGTAACACGGCTCTTCCACAGTTCGTGATTGAAACGGCGTACTTTCCGTGGTTTTAACAAATGTCCATTTTTCTGATTCGTCGTCTACTGAAGATGATTGTTGACCATCTAAAAAAATTACAATTTTAATAAATGTTTCGGTTCAATTAATTCCTTCCACAAGTTTTTTTCTTTTCGACAAAGTGTCTCATATAAATATGAGATCGGTTGAATTTATTGAAAAGTTTAGCTAAAAAAATCAATCAATATTGATATGTTTTAAATATTCTAAAGTAAGACCGAGCTAAGTCAAAATTTTGTACAATTAGAAAAGACGAAATATCATTTCTGTGAGCATCTTTATTTATACAATAAGTTCTTTTATTTTTCATTTTCTCAAAACAACTGCTACTTCTTACACCTAATTAGAACTACTTAATTCTCGAGCTGGAAACTTATTTTACCAATTAATACGATTAACATATTTATTGATTGATTAGTCGGTTAATAGATGCTCATGCTTTTCAATGTGAAAAATTGCTTACAGAAATTTATTTTAAAGTGAGATTTTTTGATACACAAGATAGCTGATACAATACGTTTGATAATCTCGCAAGAGCGAAATATTTATCATTTTAATTTAAACTAATAATGCTATAACTGAATATGGATTATGTCAAATTTACAACGACAAACTTCGAATCGAAGCATTCCGTGACATAACTGATGTATCGGTAACTGTTGTCATACATAATTCTTGTGCTTTACATATTTCCGATGATACAATTACTACTTGATGACTATAAAAAGTAAGTTGGATGACTTAATTCATGCTATTATATCGCTCAAAAGTTACCCATTACAATTATGAAAATCGTATATCGCAAATTAAAATAAAAATGTCAAAAATGCAAATCTAACTGAATTAAATTAAACTGAATTTGTATTTTCAACATTTTTGTTTGATTTAATAATTTACAATAAATTCATAAAATTTTTAAAGTTCCACAAAATTTAAAAATTGACTCTATATTTTTCATAATTTTGGCTTTAATAGGAGGTAAATCATTTTCTGTCGTAGGCAACATCGATAGTTCAGACCAGGATACTCCATCGAAATATCTGCTATTATCCATATTTATACATGCTTGAGTAATATGTCTGTCAGTCTGGGTACCCTTGTTTACCTGAAATTATTATCGTTGGTATTGTTGTCACCATTATTTTTCTTAGCATCATTTTCAAATAATATAATCGAATATAAATACCAATATAATATAATACTAATATATATATATATATATATACATATATATGTATGTATAAATGCTGTATTAATACTAATGTAATGTGTTAACAGTAATAATAATAATATGTCAATACTACGATAATATACTTAATACTATGTTAATAATAATGTTAATACTAATATAGTTAGTATTAACACTAATGTAAATATACATAAATACTAATGTATATAAATATTAGTATATATATATATATGTATATAATTTGAAATGCTAATATTTTAATATAATCGAAACAAAAATCATGGCTATATAACAAAGAATACAATAGGTGGATACGGTAAAAAAGTTGCAGTGATAAGGCATAACTGAAGCATAAGTGATTAAATTTAAAGGATTAGCATTAACATATATGTAAATTCTTGTCCAAAATTAAAGGTCATTCATTTTTAGCTTGTTCAACTTTGAATTATCAGAAAAAAGTAAAAAATAAAATTTTTCATATAAATGAAGCAATCACTGAATTATCTCTATTTATAGCAGTATTACTTATCAATTATCATCGTATTCATTCAAAGATACTTTAAAAATTAGATTGCTTAAAATAAAACAATGTTGCGATCTTCGATTGTCATCATTTATTATGTTATATATAATTGTAATAAATAATCTTGAGTCGCCATGATTATTCGATAGACCAAAAATTTTTTCAAAAATCAATAAAAAGTTAAGCTTATTCCGATCTTTGATCGCTATCGTTTATCATGATACACGTAGTCATGATACGTAATCTTGAATCATTATGATAATTCGGAAAACTGTTTAGTTCTAAAAATCAATAAAAACTCAGACAATGTTTTACCATGCAAAATGCATGACGTATATGTTCTAATAGTGCTCGCTGATCACGTTTGAATCGTGGTAATACAGTACTTGCGAAGATAACCTTACGTTCAGTTTTTTGAGTTTTCCGTTTACGTTTTATACGCCATAAGGAAAGAAGATCTATTTTAGTCTGAAATCAACCAAATAATTAGTATGGATTTTTCCTCTTTTTCTTCTTATTTCAATAACTTAAAGTTAACTGTGACATACAGTTAATTGTGATTTCAAGAATTAATGAAATGAATGAAATTTGCAGAAAAACAATGCACTAATTATGAAAAATATTTCATTACGTCTAATAAATGTTCCAATTGAATGTTTAGAAATTTCATTAATGAAGTCCTAAACCTAAATTAGAACCTAAGAAAAAAGAGCAAAAGAAAGAGAAACCTGAGCAAGAACAAAAACTTGAATATAAATTTTAGAAAAAAAAAATCTTTTTTTGGGATTTAAGTCTAAATTAGAACCCAGAACCTTTTTGGTTGAGTTCCAGCTTCAATAAGATTACGTGTAAAATCATCAATGGTGGTTGTGTATACTTTCATGATTGTGATAAGATGTCGTGATCATACTACTTCATGCCATCTATGATTTCTTATTTGACGATAAATAAGACTTCGATATATTCGATAGTTAATTCAGTAGTTTCCACAAGTTGAGTTCAAAAGTTAATAATTTAAGTACAAAATAAAAAAACCAATTTTACCGGAACTTTTATTCTTTCAAGTGGAACACCTTTTTCTTTATACTCTTCCAATAACGTTACCAGCAATTCCTCAAATAACCATTCGAGCTTAATTTGAAGAACACTGATACACATACTAAATAATGCAAGTCCAATCATTATCAGTCCAAATATCACAAACATATCCACCGAATTTGTTGGTGTCACATCACCTAAAATTATTCTTAAATTTGATAATTTAACTTTTGAATTGGGATTTAAATCGGATTTTTATAAATCACATTTTGAAAAACATTTTTTAAGAATTCTTTTTCTACAAAAAATTTGGAAAGTTTCCAAAAAACACATTGGTACTATTGTAGAATTAACTAATGATGATGAATAAATTTTAAATAGCACTAGTAACAGGTATAATTGACTTACCGTAACCGATAGTTGTAAGTGAACAGAAGAAAAAATAAAAACTTTTAAAGTAATCCCAATCTTTTTCAAATTTCAAAAAAACTGCAGCACATAGGAATACCCATCCTATAGTAATACCAATCTTCAAATGGTATTAATGTATTCATGGAACAATGAACATGATATGATATGATATGATATGATGAATGAACGACAAATAGCATATAATTAAAAATTTTAATAAACAAAAAAAATGAAAATATTAATTAGTGAGATTATGTTAAATTATGTTATAACATTACCCATTTTGTTTATGATTATTTATAAAAAATCGATTGATAATTTTAAATATGAAAGATATGAATGAATTTTTCAATTTCAATAACGATGTTTGATAGTGAAAACATAAAATATTCAGATGAAAATGATAATATTTATTTGAAATGAACTTTGTAATCAATATCAAATAAGGAATATTCAAATCGTTAAGTAAACAATTATTGTTGTTGATTAGATTATTGTTATTAAAATAAATCCGAAGTATTTTCTGCATGTTGCGGAAATAAAATACAAAGATAGGATATTGATTATATAATTTAATTAGTAATTATTACTATTATGCTATTAAATGAGACATAAAGTTTCAAAGGTGATAACAGAAGGTTATTTTTCTCGGGAGAGAAGTTACCCAGCGAACAAAAGGATGAAGAGTCATCCGTGGAAAATCGAGTGAAAGGACGAAGGAGGGATGGGCGGAGAATTAGATGAAAGGTTAAACAGATTTAGACAGACGGATGATCTAACGGATATAGGTGGACTGGTGGTCCAATGGATATAGGTTGACGGAGGTTAGACGGATATAGGTGGACTGAGAATATGCTGGCTGCAAACGAAAAGCTGAAGAGAACAAAGTTATTTTCGAAAAAATTTTCAGAAATAAAAAAATAACATACCGGTAGTAATAGTGGAACATTACCATTATGGATCATGTTTTGATTTTTCTTTTTTATCGGTTTACCGAAACATATTCCCGCTATATGTTCCAATAAACTGTGATTGAAATTAAGGGAAAAGAAAAAAGTTGTAAGGTTTTATTTCATACCTCAAAATAACTAATTAATAAACATGATATAGTATTGCTAAATTAATTGATTTAATTAACTATTATTAACATTATTATTTGGTATTATTGCTAATTTGCTATATGCTTATTTTTCATTTAACTTGGCTCATTGCCACTTGATTTACTTTCAAATTTTGTTTTTTAAATAAGAATAGAAATGCTAATAACCGCAGGAATTGAATCCAAAATTGTTCCAAAATTCGAAATGATTGTCGACCAAGTTTATGCAAAATAGTTAATAGAAGTGGTATACCGATTGTTGCATAAAACATTATTGCTAATCTACCAAGTTTGCTATTAGCTGTTATATTACCATAACCGATTGTTGTATATGTTGTCACTGAATACTTATATATCACATTAGCATATCGAAATGTTTCCATTTTTTTGCAAAAACAAAATTTGAAAAGTTTTCATTTTTTAAAATTATTTTGAAAATTATATTTTCAGGATTATTAGTTAATTGTTATGAAGAATTCATTTGATTTTTTGCTGTGAATTTCTCAATTTTTTTTTTCTTTGTTAAAAATTTTTGATGGAACTAATTTTATAGCAAAATAAGAATAACAAATAATTGATTGATTGATTGATTGATTGATTGAATATCCCAAAAACAATGGCAAGAAATTGGAAAAAATAAAAATTACTCACAAGTTAAAACATTGGCAAATAAATATGCTAACAGTCGTTTCGTTCATTTTCGTCCAACAACGATTCTCTTCTAATGGAAGCTTATAAGATTGTTTAAAACTTAACTTATCAATCAATACCAAAGATATCCATTTAATAATATCAAAAATGATCGCCTTCTCTTCTATTAATATATTAGAATAATTACCAGCTAAGAACAATGCATTCCAAAATGTCCAGGTTGGAGTAAAGAGATGAGTTAAACCAGTTAAAGTTTTGAAACGAAACAATGCAGCATTCATTTTGCGGCGAACAACGATTGCATTAGCATTCTCTTCCAGCGCAATTTCCCAATATCTTAATGATAGCTGGAAGTTTGTAAGATCGTTAAAAACCTATCAATTAAAAAATTCAAATAACGATTATCACTCGAATTTTTAATTTAAATTTGATTTTTAACTTAATTTTTTATTTGTGAAATAATAGAAACCGAGTTGAAGTTTTTTTTTCCTCTCAAAGGTTGTTTGCACACTAATCAGACAGTTTTCTTGATAGATTATTATCCATTCAAGAAACTGTAATTATTTCTATGTTCAATTTTAATACATAATGTGACATGAAAGAAATGGAATAAAAAGTAATGATACGACAAAACTGACAGTGAATTTTTTATATTAATAATTATTCTCAGTATCTGTCGGATAATCGAATATTTTACGAAATGATCTAACTAATTAAACCTTAATCAAATATTTTACTTAGTCCGAACATTAAGCCTTAATCGAATATTTTACCTAAGGTGACACAAAGATAGAACAAAGGAATAGAATGAGGCTTAGGTAATGTATGAAGTGGCATATGCTTATGATAGTACGATATAATTTTTCTCCGTTTTAGTTTATACTGTCATATTTTTATATAAAATTCAAAAAGCCCAAAATAAGTTGATAAAATCTAGTAGACGGAAAAGTGATTAGTAATAATGTTACCTGTTCAGTATAATTTCGAAGGGCATACATTTGACCAAAATTGTTACTAAAATGATGAAGCCATATAATTTCCGGATGTTCTGATCGCAATATTTTAGCTTTATTACTTTCCTGATCCGACAAATGATACATATTTAGGATATACCAATAAACAGCCTATAACATTTACTTGTCAAATTTATTTATTATTTATTTACTTATCTGACTGTTTACTACTTAATTATAAAATATTAACTCATTTGTTTATACATTACTTACCTATCTATTCACATTTCATCTATTATTTATTTATTTATCCATTTACCTATTTGCTTATTCACTAATTCATTTTTTTATTTATGTACTGCTTATTTGTTCATCTTATTGACCTGTTATTTCACTTATTTGTATATTCGTACGTTTATTTATTAGATTTTATTTTATTAGTTACCTTGCTTTTAATTAATCAGCTTCATTTAATTAATTAGTCTGCTTCTTTAGTTCATTTATGTAAACTTTTTCCGATCCAAATGACAATATATGTAAGAAATCTTTAAACTATGCGAAATCAAACATAAAACAGATAGATAACTCTATTGGAATCTAAATTCAAAGCATTGTTTAAAGTATAAAGATAATTGCGCAGGTTCCAGGGAATTTTGTAATATATTCTTATATTTTGGCTACAGTATCTTCGGAAGAATTTATAAAATTATTGTTACATTATATATTTTTCTTACACTTAATATTGTTATAAAATATGCAAAGGATTGCTAAATGCGGGAAAATCTCAAAAATGATGTGAAACATGTGACAGATTATCGAATTCATTTTTCCGGAAGAAGGAAGAGGTAAGGCGACATCCGGCTTACATGGTTGATCATCAAGTGATTGCAGCATTGATATTCAACAATGACCTACCAGAATGATTGATTTTTTTACTTGATGCATTTCACAAAATTTCATTGTCACAATCTGTTAGATGCCTTACTCGCTGGTGGAAAAATTTTACCATAAATAACCATTAATGAAATTTAAGAATTTAAAAATCTAAAAACAAAAATAATCAAAAAACCTTATCAATTCCATTTAACGCAAAGCGTTTATAAATTCGAATACTTTTATTGAGTTCTAATCGATTATTGCCATATTTGGATCGAATTTGTCGTATAACTTTTTCAATATTCAAAATAATTCGATATATGGAACGTTCCTCCCATTTGAAGTATGCTTTCTTTTGATCCAAAATTAATCGTTCATTGGGACATTCAATCAGATAAAAGATCATTCCACCAAAGAACGAATAAGCTATCAAAATGAAAACCGGAAATGTTGAATGAACGATGGAGTTGTTGTAAATATGCTGTAAATTATGAAATATTTAATTACAAAATCATCCATTCCTTCCTTTATCATTCCTAATTCTCTCACTTTGCCTTATCATTATAATTATGAAATGACGAATCATTTTCTGATTGCAATTGTAATATTTAACTCAATAAAATGATATAATTAGTACCATCTATACTTTCAGTATGACATTTCTGAAATTATGATATCGCATACAGAATTATACCATTTCTCTATCTGACGCTTGTATCACTAAGTATACTTTTTTTCCTTTTTTTTTTTCTTGAAAGCTATCTGAATGATTATTTTTCTTCCTGATAATACCATTCATCAATATATCGTTCTATCACATCCGTTTGTTGTCGCCCAAAATGCGAGGTCAATTTTATTTAATTAGTTGTTATTATTATAAATAGAAACTAACAATCGGTTTTTCCCTTATTTTAATTTAAAAAATTTTAATTTTATTTGAACCTGTAATTGATAACAAAAGCGTTTGAATGAAGATTTTGTCTTATCAGATTTCTGATGGTAATATTTGAGCGGTTCATCAGACATATGTTCCAACGATCTCAAACTTGCCACTTTTTTCTGTAAAACTTATCAATATGATGGATAATCCTTACGATATTTTCAAATGGCACTTATCATAAGTTAATCAGTTCTCACTTAGAAAAGTTGTGGTTAAAAATTTTGCATCCATAATTAGTATTAGATTATTTCAGCCAATTGTCATTATTGATGGTCTTTTTCTATGAATAAAATTTTTTTTTACTTTTAATTTATTATCAACAAAAAGGCAAAAATAATCCCCGTTATGTTTCACAAACAAATTATTTGCTATCAAAATAAATCAAAAATTTTTGGATACCATATTTGGTATCATTTGGTATCATATATGGTATCATTTGGTATCATATATGGTATCATTTGGTATCATATATGGTATCATTTGGTATCATATATGGTATCATTTGGTATCATATATGGTATCATTTGGTATCATTTCTTACCATGTATAGTATCATTTAGTGTCATATATGCCTATAGTCAATCATTATAATGTTCTCAACAACAACAGAATAAACGTTTGGATATGATTTAGGAAAAAAAAAGAAAAAAGAAATCATTTACAGGACTGAATGACTTGAAGTTATATAATGAATTCCGCAATATTTGAGATGAGAACGAAGATTGTTGTCGTTTTTGGCGCAAACCAGATTGGATAGCGTTGGCTGGCTTCATTCATACATCGATACATCCTTCGCTTATTGGTCCCGATGTTCGAATACATCGATGGAAAATTATAATTAATTTAAATTCTTTTATATTCCACTGAATCTCCTCCTATCCTATTTAGATTCTCATCGAAAAATGTCTTTATATAATAAATTTTAGGATGACAAATAGTAAGATAATTTATTTAGCGTTAAATAATGACCTTTCCTCCATTAACTTTAAGTAACAATTATCAAAACATTAAATTCAACTTCGATGCCGTGAAGTGATAAAACGATGCAGGAATGATAATATTTTCATGTTTAAGTTTGTTTAAACACACTCATTCCATCTATCACCTACGAAAGTTTTATGCAAGCCGACTAGACATACCAATTGTTGTAAAGGTGTTAAAACAATTAAACTTTCAACGTAACTTTGTTTTATTTAAAATCTTCGTGCACAAAAACACTGATCTCTACTTCCATCCCGAAAATACCCCACGTAAAGTAGAAATCGCCAAGTATGCAACTTTGTTAGCAGTATTAGTAGAATATGCAGAATTAGAATTTCAATGTTACTTTTCCTTCCTGATCATGTTTCACCTTCCTCTCTTTGTTAACCTCTAATCAAATCACTTCATTTACTTAAATTCATGTCACTATTCTCTTTGATATTCCATTTCTCTGCCTGAACTTATATGGAATGCATTCATTTCAATAAAGTATTTGAATATTTCCATATATTTTTAAATCTGGCCCATTTTCAAAATATCAACTGTATAAAGTTAACAAGTGAAAAGACCTTAAAACTTTATTTGTCTGATTCATTTCAAGGACTTTACTCGAATGAAATATTAGGAGGGTTTTATTTAAGCTCGAATGAACAAATGGAAGACAAGTAGAAGGCAATATACACCATAAAATATTCCGATCTCCAAATAAATGGTATTGTTGTCAACATCAATAACAAGTCAGTCACTAATTACTAGTAACACGTCAGTTACTAACAAGTTATAACCACAGTTTTTTCGCCCTGCAATCTTCTTGCAGAGACTTTTGCACATAAAGATGATGAACATCTGCTTTACGCGACTTATCCCTGATTCCTCGCAACCTTTTTCTTATAGAAGTATAATTTCAGCATAACCTAATACTGATAAGATCCCACAACAATATTACCACCAACCATATATGCTTTGTTTTTCCGCAGTGATTCCTCGTAATGCCTCGGTTGCAAGGCTTTGAAAGGATAAATATCAACGAAATGATTCTTTCCCTCTTCCTTTTGTGACCATAATGCACCCTCAACTAAACAACAAATCATTTCGCATGCTAAATAGTTCAGGATCATTAAAGCACCTGGAGCAATTTCAGGATCACCCAACCACTTTAGAAATCGACCAACTTTTGCTTTCCTGCAATTTGTAACAAATTCGAAAGAATGAATTAAGCAAAATTTCTCTTTTGTCTAAATATATCATTTCTTATACCTTGCCCAGTTATTCAGTAAAATGCCTAAGATAATATCATTTGAATGAATGTTCGGATATCCTTTAAAGCTTTCTGGAACAGACCCAGTTGTTGAACTATGCGGCTCCGGCTACTAGTGTATCTAATCAGACAATATATCAAACATAGTTGTAGATTAAATCATTTGAAGTATGAAGAAATAATTTTGATGTCGAACTAATACCTAACGCCATGTCCAGCGCAGAAGCTATATGTTCTTGCCATCGTATATTCTTTATACTCATCTTCATCCATCAGTGCTGTACGTTCTGATAACCGTTTCAATCGTTCACGCTTCTCTTCATCAACTTTTACATCACTTTTCAGATATCTCTGTAGTTCGCCCGTTACATCAAATAATCCAACAGTGTCGTATATTGATTGTGCTCTAAAATAGAATAAACATATAAATAATCTGCAGAATTAACATATTGCTCTAGTATTAAACATATTGCTACCTATCTACTTAATGTCATGAATCTTTATCAGTAACACTCATCAGTAAATTGCTTAATACTGAATTCAACGAGCAGTAAATTGCTTAATACTGAATTCAACGAGAAAATGGCAGTACACTTGCTGCTTATCATTCAACCATTTTACAGTAAATTAATACCCACCGCACACAAGCAATACAAATTGGGTAAAATAACGTTGAAACTAAGCAAAGTTGGGAATCCTAGTAACATGACAGTTACTGCATATATTCTTCCAAAGAGATGAAATTCATAGCATCACTTGTTCGGTAATATCTCTTGGTTTTTTTTCACAATTTACGATATAAGATCTAATGTTCATAATATTTATTTAAATGCACCAAAAGCCAAGTAATCAGTTGTACCTTATTATATACTAATAGCCACTCTCTCACTAAAACATTTCAATTATTTGTGAAACAAATTTAAAAAATCAGCAAATCATTTAAGAAATTCAATTAATGACAAACTCTTTTCCACAGAAATCTGTACTGCTATTTGGAACCTCTGCCAAAATATCACATTCCGACTCATAATCTTCATTGAAACCTTTTAACAAATCTGCTGACTGCAAAAATTTATATTTCAAGTCAACATAGTTTTTAATTTCTAACATAATGATTTCTTCGTTAGTATTAATTCTCTGTTAAATATTCCCTAACCAATTTTAAATTCACTGATGAAAATTACCTTCATTTCGCACTGTTTGGGAAATTGGATTCCAATTCAAACGTATGAAATAAAGGTGATCTTCATAATAATAAAAACATATGCAGCAAAACTCATATGAATCTCTTTAAAAAATTCTTTCCCCTTCAAAACAATGGAAATATTTCAAAAAAAAAGTCTGTAGATTACTTACCTTAGCCATACGATAAATTCGACCAAGATGGAATGGTTTCTTGCGTAGAAGAAATAACAAGTCCACACACTCGATTCTTTTACAGCTGCAGAAAAATTGAAATTATAAACAAATTTCAAAAACTGAGAAAAAATATGAAATGCAAGAAATTTTAAAAAAAGAGAAATACTTTTCACCCTCGTAATGTTGCACATTTCATGGCTCTATTTAATGTGTCCATCATCTGATTACGCAAAATATCGGTGACGTATTGCTGACATCTAAAAAAATTCATTCATTCATTGCATCTTTCTTCTTCAATGTGATTATATATTGAGATATGCTAATTAGGAATTCCAATTGATGAGGAATGAAAAGAAAAAAAAGGATTGAACGTAATAAAATAATTATGAGACCGTGTTGAGAACTGAAACATAGCATTGATAAGTTAGATTTCAATTTCAGTAGACGGCATAAATAAAACTGAAACTGTGGATATTTCATTGGCATAACTCAAAAAATATAGATAAACAACAAAATAAACAAGTCGGTGACTTCCGTAACCACTCGATATTGTTTCGGTGATCCTGATGATACGTCCGGAATGACTAAAAAATCCCATACTATGCAAAATTAGTCACTGCTAACTGATTTTAACTCTAAAGAATAACCACTAAAATACGATTGTCGTGAAATAAATTCAAATTCTAGGTTGGAAACTAACATTTCAATCGGTTCCACTTCATCGCCATAAGCAAACATTAATTTCCCAATAATTTCATAAATATCTACTGGTACTGAAGTATGAGTCATCGTTTTTTGCTCACAGATTTAACTGACCACTTATCTATTCATTTATTAAATGAATCAGTAAATCATCCGCCCATTTATTCAATCCAATCAACCAACTGATCAGGTAGCTATAAAAAAATATATTTCAAATTACTGACATAAAAATACTAGTTTGGCGGTATTTCAGAACGCTGACCTTAGCTTCATCATAAATAAAAGAGGAAATGACTTAAATTTATTGATCTATAGGATGAAGAAAATGAAGTTAGGGAATGAATTACTTGAAAATGAAGAATTAATAATCTATAAGCAATGTTCTAATTTCTTAATTTTTTTCAAATATAAAACATAGTAAGAAATACCAAAAACGAAACAAATATTTTAGTTTCTCAAATATTCTACTGGAGATTTGATTGGAGATTGAATTGAAATTGAAAGATTGAACAGTGAAGATTGAATTCAACGATATAATAATAAGTACAGATTGAAAGAACTGACGATGGTAAACAAATTTCACAAAATGAAATAATAATAAAGAGAATTGCAGAATATCCGGAAGCTTATCATAAAATATCATAATAAATAACTGATAGTATCTGAAATGATAAAGTATCGACAAAAGTTCTATTTCATTTAAATATTTTGTAAATATGGCTTAATTAAGGCTAGAACCGGTTCCTTTTTTTTTGCTCCAGTCATTTAAAATGAAATTAAGATCAAAGATAAATTTCTAACAGTGTCGGTGCACAACAAAATCAATTAATTGATAAGAGAAATTATCATTGGAAGTGAAAAAGAGAAAACAAGAAAGTTTAGTAATTACATTTGTTCTAATGACACAAAATTTCATTCGTCATTTAATTCTTTCTTACACCTTCGATGACTTCATTCCCTATTTCGAAATATTTTACCCATTTAAATTTCATTTGCCACTTCATTAATTCGAAAATTTAAATTTCATTCGCTATTCCATAAATATTTCAAAATACTTTACTTATTTGATTTAAAACTTATTAAACTTAACTTAATTCTCCCATCTTTTAATCTGTTTCATTTGATACCAATAATTATCTTCTTTCCCTTTTTTCTTTGTTTCTTTTTCTCTCCGTTTCCCTTTCTCATTTTTACAGCTAAAATTACTTTCTGTTCAGTAACATGAATTTCGACCTTGTTAAATCTGCATTTCATACATATTTCAATTTAACGTTTCCAAGAATTCTCCGGCGGAAACAATATGGCCCCCTTCGTTTCACGTACGTCAACTTAATAAACATAATAAGTAATGGCTTAAATTTGGGTAAATTATTCACTTTAAAATCATCAAAACCCAACGATAGGCAAGTGTACGGAAGTAAAGACTGAAAATTGATGATAATTTAAGAAAATTGTTAACAGTGACAAAAGATTTGGTAAGGTTAAATAGTTTAAGTAATAAAAGAGAGTGTTAAAAACAGAGAGATAGAGGATAGACAGGGCTTGAAGAGCAAAGAGTATGTGGAAGATTAAGAAGAAAGCTTTCCTGTGATGAAAATTTATAACACCTGTAGAACTACCGGAACACCACCGGAAAAACACCAGCAGTACCAGTAAAACCTACCAAATGCTCCGGTTTCACAAACTCTCCAGGTTTTGGGTTCGAGTTGCAAAAAAAGCTGGAAAATTGAGCTGGGAGTATGTAATGTGTCATTGGTTGAGTGTCCATTTCTTGGCAGGATTTTAACGAAATTGCGGGAAAATTTGATTTCCGGTCAGTTTTCCGAGTTTTATTTTCTATTTCTCTTCCATCTTCTACCGTGCCATTTCTCTATTCTATTTGCCAAGTCTCATTCTAAGTCCCATTTCATATATTTCTTTTCTCCCAGTCCTAAATTCCATTCTCATATACTATTTTCTCTCCCAATCTTTTCCATTCCAAATCGTTCCGCACTCTTTATTAATCTTTGACACGGAACCTGATAATAGGAAGAGTATTGAGGAAATAGAGAATTATAAAAATATAATTAATACACAAATTAGAAAGCATGGAATTGCAATTTCTAAGTTTCTATTTCGTTCGAGTTTTTTCTTGAAATATTCACTTCCTGGAAGCATAAACTTAATCTGAATTATGAAATCTATTTCATATTTGTCACTTATACTTACAAATTTTTAATCCCAATTTCAACAATTTTTTCTAAATGTAAATTTTTGTTGTAAAGACTTTAATTGCTTGAAAATGACAAATAGTGCATAGGTTTTGTTTTTTACACGAAAAAGAGTTACAGTTTGAAAAAAAAGCCAAAGTTTTAATAATTCGATAAAAAAGCTGTTAACTTTTTGAAATTGATTGTATTTACAAATAATCCATTATGTTTTTTTTTCTTTACTTTTTTCCAGGCATCATTATGGTATCAGTTTTGGAACAGATGAAAATGTCGACAAAAGTTGTCGCAGATTGTGTCGATTTCAAAGGTTGAACAAATCTTTTTTTTTTTGAGAAAACAATTGGATAAACTTCTGCTTGTTTTTTTGTTTATTTGTTCTTTCCATTTCTAATGGGAAATATCCTATTCAAAGGAAAAATAAATTTTGCGCTAATCTTCATTGTTCGGTTGTAGCCGGATAATGTGGGATGGGCTGTATAACCGGACAATGAAGCTAATGTGAGATGTAAAAAAAAAAACAAACAAACAAACAAAAGAGGATGTAATAGGACAGAATATGATCAAAAGGGTTAGATTAATCTTCTTCTAAAATAGGCTGAAATGGGATAAAGTGGTCCTGTTTCGATCGTTGATTAATTGAAATTTTTAATTATCACTGTGATAATTGGATCTCCCCAGTTATATAAAAACTCTCTCAGTAATGCAAGCGATTGCATCTCGACGTTTGAGTTTATTGTGAGACAGATCTCTACATCTTTATATCTGATCCGCCTGTTGGCTTGAGTGATACATAAAATACAGATTGCCTACCGTTGGGAAAACCGAAGCGATTAGTGGTTTATCGGCTTATTTAAATTTTCCGGGGCGTTATGTTATGCTATAAGTTAGCATTTCTGAAATTTTATTTTCATTTATTTTTGGTTTCAAAAAGTTGTTTTAACCTCAAATTTCATTTAAATAAATTGCCGACTTCGATAATTCTCTATCCATAAAATTTTTAGGATTCAAAAATTTTTGAGATTTTTAAGATTCAAAAATTCAAAATTCAAAAAAGATTTTTTGGGATTCAATATTTTAAGGAATAAATTCCATTTGCATGAATTCTTGGATGTAAAATAATACTTCAGTACTTTTTTTGCAGTAATGAAACAGGTTGGTGCCGTGGATGCTACAACAAATCCATCTATTTTATTGGCAGCATCAAAACTTGATGAGTATAAGCGTTTTCTGGATGAGGGAGTCGCATATGCAAAAAAATACGGTTCATCATTAAGTCGTGAAGAAGTAAAACTTTTCCCAAAACTGTTTCAAGTAGTCTCTAAATTCGTGACATAGCTATGAAGTATAAAAATTTATCTCCTCTTTTCGATACATTTAGTAATAGCAACTTCAGAATCTACAATCCGGTCATGCAGTATTTGTTTAGGTGATAAAAGTTAATTACATGGCCCATTCAACACAGTTTTTTGTTAGCTTTCCAGAAAAGGTTTAATCTTGAAATTCATTCACGTGAATGAATGAGTAGATTCTATGAAAGTTGTTTACTTCTTATTGATGATTTTTCCGTCTCCTACAGCTGCGTGCCTTGGCTATGGACAAAATAGCAGTTCTGATGGGAAAAGAAGTATTAAATGTTGTTCCTGGGCGTGTTTCAACGGAAGTCGATGCTAGGTATAGATTTCCTGTTTCTGCTTTGCTTTTGCTCAATATTTTCCTTTTTTTGTTTTCTTTGCTCATCTTAGTACCTATTGCTTTTCCATTACTGGTAGAATTTTTTGCAACATGTCATATATTATGAATTTATGAAATTAATGTTATCAAAACTTTCCGTCTTTTTTGACGTGAAAAATGTGTTTAATGACATTCATGTTGTTTGGTTCCAGACTGGCCTTTGACAAAGATGCACAGATTGTGAAAGCATTGGCAGTTATAAAGTTATATGAAGAAGAAGGAATTACGAAAGAACGTGTGCTAATAAAATTACCGTCAACTTGGGAAGGCATTCAAGCTGCTCGGTTAGTTCATTTTATCAAATATGCAGAGATTATTCCCTTATATTTCTAGAGTATTATATTATTCATAATTTCAGTAATTTAATATATCTCTTGTATTAATCCTAAGTAGACAGACTTGTTCATCATTAATTTTCGAAACACAATTCAATTGGTTGGTTGGACAGGCAGAACACTTTTCTGACGATCATATCGTTATGTGCTGACCTATCTACTTTGCTGATGAAACATTTCATATTTCTAATTGCCCTCTTTATAATTGAATGATTTATATATTACCTTATTCGCCTTTCGAAAATATATTCAGACTTCTCTGCTTTTATCTATTCATTATTAATCCCATTTGCGATCGGATTTCTATTTTTTTTTTACTGAGTTTATTTGTTCCTGTTTCATTAATAAATTTCTCAATGTCAGCGTACTTGAAAGTAAGCATGGTGTCCACTGTAATATGACGTTACTCTTCAACATTTATCAAGCTATCGCATGTGCTGAAGCAAATGCTACGCTGATTTCTCCATTTGTTGGCCGAATTCGTGATTGGTATTTGAAAAATACAGATGCGGAAGATTATAGCCGTGAAACGGATCCTGGTGTTCAGGTTTCTTACATTGTTTAACTTTTAATTAGATAAATCTGAAACCTCTTCAAATTAAATATGTGAAAACAGAAAAAAGCTTGAATTTTTCTTTTTTATATTTTTTGGATCAGTTATTTTTAAATAATTTTCAAATATCTTTAGAATGTTCGGAAAATCTATAGTTATTACAAAAAGTATGGTTATAAAACAGAAGTTATGGCAGCATCGTTTCGCAACGTAGATGAAATCAAGGGTCTTGTTGGTTGTGACCTAATGACGATCAGGTAGGAAAAGTATAACCTTTTTTCCCATGTATGTCCCTGCTAAAAGAGTTCTGAAAATAAAATGCTTGGGTTTTGAGAGATCTTATTAAGCTGTGCAATATTCTTTCCTCTTTTTTGCAGTGCGGCATTGCTCAAGGATTTATCGGTTGACCGCGAAAATATTCCTGTAATTTTGAGCCCAGAAAAAGGTATATTTATATATTTTTGTGTATACATAGTTTTTTCATGAGATTGTTTTTTCTTTCATACAAGGCTGTGTTCTGTTCCCGATTTCTTCAGAAAGGAAACTATTATTAAGCTGGTCACTGATTGATATGATCGTAATACATTGTAAAGAAGAGAAAAACTGTTTTGCAGCCAAATCATTTGAAATGCAGAAGGTTACACTTGATGAGCCGTTGTTTCGGTATGAAATGAATGAAGATAAAATGGCTACGGATCTTTTGGCTGATGGAATACGTCGTTTTGTAGCAGATGCTCGAGCAATGGAAGCTTTGATTGATAAAGCGCTCTAAGGAAGTATTACTTATTTGAAATGATTTGTCCCCAAAATAATATACTTTATCTCTTTTTTGTTTTACATTTTTCCTTTTATTTTGAACCATCTCTTTATTCTAACATTTTTTTTTCTTTTTCAAAAGGTGAATTGATTATCGTGCAGATGTTGCGTCATCATTTATTTAATTGCTGTGTCATTTTTTATTGGATGATCAATTCTTGTTTGCAAATTTGTCATATTTTCAGCATTATTAGGATGACAAAGATGAAACAAATTTTTAGAAGACATTTTATAGATAGCATGCAACGCATTCGTTAACGACCAAAGCCAACTAATAGTATGTTCAAGTATAAACGAGATTTCTAATTGTATCACTTTTTTCTTTAAAAAATCCATTAGAAATCTATTAAAATATGATTTATTTAGCATTCTAATTCAGTCTGATTCTGAATATTAGGTTTTTGTAAAGAAATATCATATTAAAGACCCTGATATTTTTATATCATATTAAAGACCTTTGATGTCATATTAAAGACTCTGATATTGATCATTTCCTGATATTACGTGAGATTTTATTTTTGCCTTCTTTTTGGTTGATAGAATTCAATTCTTTCTAGTCTTGACTTTGAAAATCTGTGATTCCCCTCAAAGTCTATTAGTTTCTTAATTCATCCAAATCACAAAGTAACATTATCGTTAGATTATATGAAAATTTCAGTTCTCCTCATTTGATCAGAAAGAAAAAAAAATCATGTCATCGGTCTGACTGATGTGACATCCTCACGAGTATCTTTTTTCTAATTTATTTTTCTCCTCCCTTTACTGCTAATATCAGTTCGAATTATTATTCCATTGTAGCTTGTGAGATTATGTAAACTTGTCATATTACGTTTGTTTTCTTACTTTTAGACCCTTATATCATCTTTTCCCTTTTGAAAATCGATTAAAAAAATTTTTGTTGGGAATTTTTTGTATCATCTTAGTGAAAGATTAAAGTGCGAAGATTTTTCGGTTTCGAAATTCGAGCAATTTCTTTTTTGTTTTTTTATTTTCTCCTTGCTTTTTTAGGGATAAAGTACAACTCATAATTTATCGCTTTTCATAGTTTTCTCACTTTCTTGTCTAAAATTTTCTCTCAACCTTCAAATCATTCTAGATTATATATTTCAAATCACTCTAGTTTTTACTCGTCAGATGTATGCCTTATTTCTTCTGACTTTTAATTCTATAATTTTGAAGGTAAATTATTGAATTGTTCGACTCATTTTCAGTAATAAATTTTCGAAAATTACCTTGCTGTTTTGTAGAATCAATTACCTTGTAATATGTATCACAGAATATCCAAACTCTTTTGACATCCAAAGCAATTTCGATCTCTGAAAGGATTAAATATTTTGTAAACCCATTTCATGATGAAATTTAAATAAATGAACTTTTGGGATTCATTTAAAAATTTCATTAATTATAATTACATAAAATTTGTTCATTATGAATACAATCGCGGAACATAGCATTAGTAAGAAAGCATTATATCAGCTCTTCGTATTTTCAAAGTTTTTAATAATTTGCAATTTTGTATTTAAATTCGATTTCTACCAAAGTTTTATTTGAACGATGCAATTATTAATAGTAAATGATTGGATTATCAAAAATGCATGATATAAGAATGATACATACCTTTAAAATTATCGAAATATATGGCCCTTACCTGTTGATAGGAACTTGCATTGGTAATATCTTGCAAATATGAAAGTATTTCATTGTATATAAGCGATAAATGTTTCGCCAATTGAATTGGTAGTTTTAAAACTCATTAATAAATATGATAACATTAGATCAAATTGCAGAATAGCCTTTGCCGGATGTGGTGACAGATATTTCAGATATCGTTGGCATCTGAAGATTCGTGGTTTTCATCATCATCATCATTATCACTGTTAATTAGTCATGATATTTTAATATCGTCTTTAAGAATAATTGATTAAATAGTACAAGAATTATTAAAATTTTAAGTCGAAAAAAGGTGGAATTTCGAATAAAAACGAATTGTTCAATGATCTTCGTTTTGATAGGATATTTAAAATCCATAAGTATTCAAGCCAAGCAAATATCGAAATTGGTTTATTTTGTTTATCAGGTCAGCAATTTTAACTACTTTTTGAGTTTGCTTATTTTGTACTGAACTAAAAAAAATTTGAAAAAAGATTATTTTCATAAAATATCAGTTACATTTTGTTGAATAAGCTACAACATAAGTAGTAATTGAAGTTGTATGAATACAAATAGTACCAAAAATATTTTACTTTCTGCATCATAACTATCCTAATTATTCTGTAATTTCTTTAATTACAATAATCCCAACTAACAACACATACTAATTTCTTTTTCTTATTGATTAAATTATTAAATTTATAGTTTGATTGGAATAAAATAAAAAATTGGATATTAAAGCGATAATTGCTAATCATCCATGTAGTTAACACGAAAATAATCACGTCATTTCTTACCTTAATTACCCTTACCATTTCCTAAAATCTAATTTGTTATATGTATATATATATAAAACACTAATTGGTAAAAATCCCAACTAATCATAGTATTTTTAATTTGTTAACTACCGAAATCATTCAACTTCAAAATTTAAATTAGTATATAAACGAACGAAAAATAGGGCAAAAGAAGAGGTGATCATAACTTTATATTCCTCCATTTTTCATTTGAAACAACTTAGG